CACACACACACACACACACACACACACCCCTCAGACGAGTCGGCGAAAGTCCGACGAAACAGTCTGTTTGGCACAGTCATGCTTTTTGTGAGTGTATAGCGGATATGACAAAACACACACGCACACACGCACACACGCACACACGCACACACACACACACACACGCACACAAACAGACAAACAAACACGACATCTTCTTTTCGTCCTCCTCCTCGGACAGCTCCCATCATTCGCTTTGTTCTCAGCTCGTCGCTCTCGTTCGTCAGGTAAGTGCGACAGTGCTCTCTCTCTCTCTCTCTCTCTCTCTCTCTCTCTCTCTGTGTCACACACACACACACACACTTATTCTTAAATGGCCGATGGACCACGGATCAGATATTAAAGTGATCACATCAGATACTACACTTGATCTTATCCAAAAGACCGATATACCTTATAGGCTTATACCTTTCGCACCCATAGAGTTGGCACACTTGTACACATACTTCTTTCTCTTCTTGAAGTCTTTTGATTTGCCAAGTGTGCAAAGGCCGGCGAGGTGAACGTCGCCCCTTCGTCCCGGTTCACGCCTCAGAGCGTCTCACACTTGACTTATCGCTGTGGGCGGCAAGTGGCGTTGGTTGCGTTATATCCACAGAATGCGGGCCAATCGGGACCTCCTTTCTCTATTTCTCTCTTTTTCTTTTCTTTTTTTTTAACCCCAACTTCTTGCACAGGGCGTTTTGATTAGCGAGGTGATAAGAGCATCCTCTCTAATCAGGGCCCTGCGTGTCAAGGCTCCTTCTATTGGTGGGGAGCAGAACCTACTGGAAATCAGTTCCAGCGTGCGTGCGGGCCCCCCTTTGTTCCTCGATTAGCAATTTAGGAACCCTAGCGTCGAGTTAAAAAAAAAAAAAGAAAAAAAAAAAAAAGAAAGAAAAGGGCACCTGCTGGTGGGTGCAGCTCCCGCATGTTCCCTCGTTGGAGGCTTGAGCACGGATGTGGCTGCTACGGGGTTCCCCGTAATACTACAATGACAATAAAAAAAGGCCTGAAAGGCTGTCCTGTCCAGATTTGACAGGTAATTGAATTGGTTGGGCTTAAAGAATTAGCCTTTTTTAAATAAAAAAAAAAAGAAGGAGAAGAGAGGTCGCCGGTTCGAAGCCGTGCTAACCATGGCCTTCCGTCCAGGGCCGAGGTCCCACTAGCAAAGAGGATCGAATCGAATGCCTGAATCTGGACGTATTTTATGCAGAGATGCAGAAAAGTAGTTCAATCTCGATTTCCTGCACATCTCCACGACCTAGTCCAGATTCAGGCATTCGATCCGATCCTTTTTGCTAGTGGGACCACCCCCCAGAAGAGTAAGACGTGCAGACGCTGCGAAGTACCAAGGGCTCGCCACATCACTGTCGAAACGAGAAAAGTACAAGTGCATCTTCCCCGGAGTTTCAAAAGTGGTATGGCGAGGCCCTAAGGGGAGCGATGAAGAGAGTCACCCACAGGTAAGAATCCGTGCTTGCACGGAGGAGGGCTCGGAGGAGAGGAGGAAGAACTGCCCAGCAGACAGTATAAGTACGAGGGCCTCGCCACACCACTCTCGAAATGTGAAAAAGACAAAAATGTGGCGGGCGCATCTGGCCATGTTCTAGCGGGAAGTTCATTCTCATTTTGCAGACATCTGGCCATGTTCTAGCGGGAAGTTCATTCTCATTTTGCAGACATCTGGCCATGTTCTAGCGGGAAGTTCATTCTCATTTTGCAGATTGGCTATGCCCTGAGAACGGAGATGGCCATAAAATACAGCCGAAACCGGTAGGGTCATGCGCCAACCGGACATTGTGTCCGTGCATTGTACTTGGCGATGCCCTGAGAACGGAGATGGCCATAAAATACAGCAGAAACCGGTCGGGTCGTGCGCCAACCGGACATTGTGTCCGTGCATTGTACTTCACGTTAACTTTTACGTCGCGTTCGGGTTTTCGTACTTGGACTACCTTTTCTCTTCTCTCTCCTCTCTCTTCTTCTCTTCTCTCTCTCTCTCTCTCTCTCTCTCTCTCTCTCTCTCTCTCTCTCTCTCTCTCTCTCTCTCAA